GTGCCTTCTGCGTTTGCCAGCTGCACCCTCCCCCTCCCATGGTATTTTCATAAGCACACTATGCTAATTTTACAGCAACATGTGAAAGAGGATTGGCATGGCAGTGCCTCAGGTGCTTCATGGGGAGAGGGTGCCTCCTTGGGAGAGGGCGTGGCTGCAGAAGGCAGCCATAATTTGAGTAAAAATACAGTTATCCTTACGTTAACCTTGAGAGGCAGGTACCATTATTACCAGTTGCTGTCAGGTTGATTCCGAATCATGGCGACCCCATGTGTGTCAGAGTAGAACTGTGAACCACACTGAGTTTTCAGTGGCTGATTTTTGGGAAGTAGATTGCCAGGCCTTTCTTCCAAGGTGCCTCTGGGTAGACTCAAGCCACCAACCTTTCTGTTAGCAGCAGCTGAGCGTGTTAACCATTTGTACCACCAGGGGACTCTGGTACTGTTGTTATTACCCTCCTTTATAGATGAGGAAACCAAGGTATTGAGAGGTAAAGTAAAATGCCCAAGGTTATACAGGGATTGGAAGAGACAGGATTTGAACTCAGGCAGTCTGACTTCAGAGTCTATATTCTCAGCCTCTACCCTACTGCCACCTTTGTCCTGAGTTGAATGACTTTAGGTCCTTTGCGCTCAGTAGTGATTCTGTGGTGGGTGGATAGGCCTAGGGACGGGCAGAGGCCACACATCCCCGTAGGATCTCGGGTTTGTCCGAGCTCGCAAGGGACTGTGGGGAGTCTAGAGCTTTCTAGACTGACCACAGACCCTCTTCCTCTTCCCTTCCCTCTGCACCTCCCCAATTCCTAGGCGCACCTTGGCTGACATTATCATGGAGAAGCTGACTGAGAAGCAGACAGAGGTTGAGACGATCATGTCAGAGGTGTCGGGCTTCCCTATGCCCCAGCTGGACCCGAGGGTCCTAGAGGTCTACAGAGGAGTCCGGGAGGTAAGAGCTGAGAGCGGAGCATGATGGGGTACCCTTGCAGGCGCTGCAGGCTCCCACCTAAGGCTTTGGGTGTCCGTGTCTCATGCCAAATACAGCGCGATGGCAGAGAACACACTTGAGAGCTAGAATGCATGAGTGTAGAGTCTTGCTGCCACTTAGTGCCTCTGTGACCTCGGATAAGTTAGATAACTCTTGGGCTCAGTTTCCTCATCTGTAAACCGAGGATAATAATAGCAACTCCTGAGAGGGTTGTTTTGAGGAGTAAATGAGTTCCTGTAGGAAAAGCACTTAGATAAGCATCTGGTACGTGGCACGCACTGTATACGTCAACCATTATTATTATTTTACCTCCCTTGCCCCCAGGTGTTATCGAAGTACCGCAGTGGGAAACTGCCCAAGGCCTTTAAGATCATCCCTGCCCTCTCCAACTGGGAGCAGATCCTCTACATCACAGAGCCTGAGGCCTGGACGGCAGCCGCCATGTACCAAGCCACCAGGTAGACTAGATGGGGTGGGAGTGGTGTGTCTACAGGAGAGGGCTGGAGGTAGAAAGTACAGGTTTTCCTTTTCCCTACCTTTCCCATTACATTTTAGCTTTGCCCCCAGAGCTCTTTTGTGCTTCTTCATATCATCATTTTCCCAGCTTTCCCTGTTTCCTTTTTTGGGCCAGGATTCTGTTGGGAATCCCTTGTAATGAGATTCTCAGCAGGCTTGTAACTACTTGTTTACACCACTGGAATGTCAGAGTGGCCTCAGGAGTCTGTGGCTTCCTGGGCATGCTCAGGTCCCTCCTGGCCAGCAGGGTACAGAAGACTCGCAGTAGGAAGAGGAAGGCAGGTAGCCGAATAGCTATCACTTTCAGGGAGCTCTGGCTCTCCCGTAGGTGGTCAGCATTCACCCAATTTTGGTGCATCTTGTTGCCCTTCCAGTTCCCCCTCTCTATTCTGACCTAGGGTTGCATGCACACAGCTCATGCATACTCCCACACACCTCTTGCTGAAAGAATGGTTTCGTATCTTATTTAAAAGCACCATCCACAGTGATACTGAAAAGGCAGGCTCCAGATCATCGTGTAACCTAAAAACTCTCCACCCCACCACCCCAACTAGGATTTTCACCTCTAACCTGAAGGAACGCATGGCCCAGCGCTTCTTCAACCTTGTCCTGCTCCCCCGAGTACGAGATGACATTGCCGAATACAAACGACTAAACTTCCACCTCTACATGGCACTCAAGAAGGCCTTGTTCAAACCTGGAGCCTGGTTCAAAGGTTGGAGCCCAGGAGGCAGGGAAGAACGGGAGGGCCAGGAGCTCCTACAGCTGAAAGCAGTAGACCTGACTTGGAAATGGTTGTCTCGGGGGCCAAGCTCCAGTGACTGTCCCTAGAGTGGGTGGGGGGTGGTTCCTACTGTACCTCCTTCCTGGGCTCACAGGGACTGCCCTTCTGATCCTCCAGGGATCCTGATCCCACTGTGTGAGTCCGGTACCTGTACCCTCCGGGAAGCCATCATCGTAGGTAGCATCATCACCAAGTGCTCCATTCCTGTGTTGCACTCCAGGTATTGTTGGTCAGGGGTGGAGGAGGGCTCGTCAGTGGGCGTCCAGATAGTAGAGTCACCAGGACTTGGAGCTGGGGGGGGCAGGGTGAGGACTAGCACTGGATTTGTGCTTGTTTAACCCAATGGGTGGGGGTATCATTACCCCACTAGAATAGAAGTTCCACAAAAACAGAATGCCAGTGCCTGGTACCTAGTAGGTTCTCAGTGAATAGCTGAATGAGTGAATGAATAGGGAACACAGGCAGAAAAGCAGATTAGGGGTGGAGATGTTGAGATGTTTGGATATATTCTAGTTGCATACTGAGACGAGGTCTGAGCCAGAGGTAGGCCGTTGAGATGGATCCGTGTAGAGGTGGTAATCAAAGTCAAGGGAATATGAGAAGATTAGGTAGGTCAGCAGAAGGCCTAAGACAGCCTCCTAAGAAGACTACAGAGTAGGGGCCAACAAAGGAGGAGAAAGCACACAGACAAAAGTAGAATCCCTCTTCTAACATCTCCCCCATCACTAAGTCCATCCCACGTCCTTCCTCCTACAGTGCAGCCATGCTGAAAATTGCTGAAATGGAATACAGCGGCGCCAACAGCATCTTCCTGCGACTGCTGCTGGACAAGAAGTATGCACTGCCCTACCGGGTGCTAGACGCCCTGGTCTTCCACTTCCTGGGGTTCCGGACTGAGAAGCGTGAACTGCCCGTGCTCTGGCACCAGTGCCTCCTGACCTTGGTCCAGCGCTACAAGGCGGACCTGGCCACAGATCAAAAAGAGTCCCTCCTAGAACTGCTCCGGCTGCAGCCCCATCCACAAGTGTCCCCTGAGATCAGGCGTGAGCTTCAGAGTGCAGTCCCCCGAGATGTGGAAGATGTCCCCATCACCACGGACTGAGGAAACAGATACCTGTGCTGGCCCAAGGGTCCTGGGAGAACACCAGGACCCTGGTGGTGGCTGAAGATGACAATGAACCTTTACGTCTGCAGACTTAGGTCAGGGCAGGGAGGGGTCACACGGGTACCTGTGACTCCCTCATACTGGACAGGAAGGACTGAGGGTCAGGCTGGCTCCCCCTTCCATCCTAGGCCCTGGTCCCTGCTCAGTTCTGAAATCTGACTTGAGACTCAACAGCCTGCTCCTCCACTCCCCCGCAGGGGACTCTTGTGTCTAGTGACTGGGTTGTGGAAGAAAACAAAGCCAGGTATTTATTGAACATCTGTCCTTTGGTGTACTTAATGGATTTTTTCCTGCTTTCCCTCGTTAGCAGGTACTCTGCCCTGTCCCTCTCTTAGAAGTGGATTCTTACCCAGTTTACATAGGACCCCCTTTATTCTACAAGTTTGTTTCCCCGGGCTACATCCACCTTGTTAGCCCCAGGGGACACATTTCTCTGCTTTCCCCTGACACAGTTTACATTGGTAGAATGCAAGCAACCAGAAGGTTGTTCAAAAGATGGTCATGTCTCAGCTATGGCTGAAAGGGCTAGATGAGAAATCCCCTCCCTGAGGAAAGTGGAGATACAGGGGCAAGAAAGGCCAGAGAGCAAAGTTAGGCCCAGGAGTGATCAGATGCAGAGTCAGCACCGGGGGTTCTTGGCTAATGAAAGCTTTAGACTAGGATTGGCACACTAGGGCTGGGTGCCTGTTTTCATATGGCCCCTGAGCTAAGAATTTGCACATTTTTAAATTGGGGGGGGGGGTATTTTGTGACAAATGAAAATTTGAAATTCAAATTTCAGTGTCCATAAATTTTTACTGGGACACAGCAGCACCCCTTTGTTTACATGTTATCTATGGCTGCTTTTGTAATACAGTGGCAGAGTTGAGTATAATTGTGCTATAATCCTTATTTGCTTTTGAAAATGCAAATTTGTTCCAACTCAGTTGATATATTTGGGAACTATTTGATCGTAATACAGATACCCCGTTTGCTTATGTGCAGTTTCATCCTTAAAGAACACAAGGTGGGGAATTAAAAAAAAAGAAACACTAGGTAGTTGGAGAAAACTGCACCCAGATGGATCAAGCTGAGTAAGAGTCCACAAAACACACCTGCAATGGACCAGCCAGCTCAGTTCTCCCCCGCATTGTGAGCCACACCCATCCACATCTGCTCTTAACTTTGCTTCCACTTCAGAGTAACTCACAAGCTGCAGGCCTTCTGACTTCCACATGCAAACTTCAGGTCTTTTTTAAAATAAAGGGCCATGTTTATAGTAGTATTTATGTGTTTCTTAACCATTTAACATGTAAAACAATGCTATAGTTTTCTTTTTTAATGTGCACTGATTGAGTGTTGGGTCTACAGCCCCATTTTTCTTGTGTGATTTTGCACAGAATGGTAATGTTTAGGAACATATATGTCACATTATAGCAGAACTGACTACATTTGAGGCAGAGACCATACGGCCCGCAAAGCCTAAAATATTTACTACCTGACTACAGCAAAAGCTTGCCACCCCCGCAACCCGACCCTAAGACCATTGATTTCAGCTCACCTTATCTCATGCATCCTAGAAATAGGCTTTTAGGTACAAAACCATCCAATCCAAGAAGCCAAGGTCAATTTTATTCCAGAATCTTTATTGAGATAGCATGATGGTCCTGGGCTACCAGCCTGCACCTTGTGGCCATAAGAAAGACCTGTGTCAAAAGGGCTTGCCTCCCTCTCCAGGCAGGGGGCTCGTCCACCTCCAGGGCATCCCTGCCTCATCCTCCAGGCAGAGGGCCAAAGGGAGAGAAGGGCATAGCCCCACCTCAGGTTGTAGCAGCTCCTTGGCCACAAAGATTCTCTAGCCAGTAGCAGAGGGGAGGGATACAGCAACCACCAGGGTCACCACCACTTGTGGGGTAGACGGGCCCCACCACACCCTCCTCACAGTTGTACTCAAAGCAATTAATAAATTAAAACAACCTCTTCCTTCAGCACTGACCCCCCTCAATCACACAGGAGCAGCTGAGTGGAAAAGCATAGCAAGGAGGATTCATTGGTTGTTGCCCCTCTGCCTAAGGCCTAGGCCCTTCTCTAGGAGCAGCTGTGAGCATGGATTATGCAGATGCTTCCAAAGTGTGGTGAGAGGAGCTGTCCAGACTGTTTCCCCTCATGTGTCTATCAGAACGTCTGAAATTGCATCTTCAGAAGGACCTCAATCCAAATGCAATAACCCTAGAAGGCGCAACACCCTTAGAAGGCACTGGGGCATTTTGGCAGCCGAGAACATGTGAAAGCCCCGGAGAGAAAGGGACCTCAAAAAGGAATGCTGGTGCTTGTATTTTACCTGCTTCAATTCAGTCTCCGACCAGCCCTGACCACCCCTAGCTGGAGTTGGGGAAGGAGCTGTTCAGATACAGGGAGGAGGAAGAGGAGCTTGACCAGCCACCCAAACACCGCTGGCCTGGCCCCTTAGTGCACAATGCAGGGATAGGTAGGACCTGGCCCCTTAGGCTTTAAGAGGGGTGAATGGGAGCCCCCTCAGGCTTCAGACGTGGCACCATTCATTCTTGGAGAGCAGGGGGGGTGGGGCAGTGTCCCCTCCCCTGCTTTTGGTGGCCACTTGAGGGGGCCTCTCCAGGGCTACAGGTCGATGGCTGTAACATCTGTGGGAGTGCTGGTCTGGCTGGGCCCCTCGCTGCTGGAAGCCCGGAGGGCTTTGGGCACAGGGCTGGAGTTGGACCGGCTGTCCCTGAGGCTGTCCCTGAGCGCAGTTTCGATCTGCTCCTGACAGGCCCGCAGGCAGTCCTGGGGACATGGGGGAACAGTGAGGATGATCCACTCCTCACCCCCACCCCCAATCTGGCAGCAGGTGTAGGGGAAGGACACCTCCCAGCACACAGGGAAGTCTGGGGAGGTTAGGCCACAGCCCAGCCCCAGGAATCAGCCCTCAGTTCTAAGAAACTGGCAAGAGGATGTGGCAAGAGGGTGTGAGAGCAGCCCTGCATCCGATACCAAACCCCCACCCCCACTCCAGCACACTACTTGGCAAGAAAGGGCACCTGGCCCCAGTGCCCTTTATCCCACCCAAGACACTTGGTCTTCTTCAGACCAAGGCAGGAGATAAAAAGCCACAGAAGCCCCAAGGGTGGGGGGCCTGAAACCAGGAGTTGGCACAAAGTTGGAGATGGACAACTCCCTCTACTGGAGGCTCAGGTAACAGCCAACGCTGCTTCGTCAACAATCAGTTGCTGCCCAGCTTCTCAGCACTCACCACTTCAGTGCCTGTGATCCCTGCCAGCATCTCTGCGAGCTCATCCGCGGTCATGGAACAGGCATCCAGGCCTTGCACTGCAGCTGCAACGCTGCCTGTTGCGATCATGGATGGCGGGTACATGGCAAAGGCAAAATCTTGGAAAGAGGGAGACAGAACCATGAAACAAGGACTACAAGTGTGACAGCAAGCATGGGCTTCCAATTCATGCCAAACAGCCTGAGTAGAGCAGGGAATGCTGGAGAGCCCCAGCAGTGAGTAGTGTAGGACATCAGTAAGGGAAGAAGCAGGAAGGGGCTCCTCTTCTAGAGCAGATTGAGGCAAACACCAAAACTTCCCAAGGTTCAGGGAGTGGATGAGACCCTCCTCAGTGTGAAAACATGACTAGGGTCAAGAAACCTGGGTTCTGAACTCAACTTACTGACCCTGAGACCTTGGGCAAATCACTTCCCCTCTCTAAGCCCTCTGTTTCCCCATCTACATACTGGGGGTCTTTAAGATTCCATTCTGCCCTAATTATGTTCTAGTGCTTTTCTGTACTGAGTTTGGGGGGCTCAGAGAGGACATAATTTTCACAAGTATATTTTGAGAGGAGTATAAACTGGAATCTCCTAGCTACCTCACCCTTCCAAGTCTTTTTGACTTTCCTGATTTGGCAAAAAGGTATACAGAACTCTTACCTGTAGCACAGAGGGCCAAAAAGGTCTGGGCGTGCTTTTTGACCAAGGCTAGCCGGTCGCTGGGCAGAGAAAGCCGGTGCAGAATTAGAGCCAAGAAGTCATGGGCAATCACAGCAGCCAGGTCCCACTTGAGCCTCCCCAGGACCAGCAACTCCCAGTCCTGCAGGTTGGAGAAGAGGGTGGGGTCAGTGGCTGAAGAAGGGAAGGAAAGAGAGTAAAGGAGGAGTCTCACAGGGAAGGAAGCCCATTAAACTTCTTTTGAATCTCAGGACCCCAGTTCTGCTTCAGGCTTAGGACTGGCACTACACAGGGCAGTCCAGGTCAGAGAAAAGCTGGGGGCATTTGCTTTTAGCATCTATTGATCATTTACTACGTGCCAGTACTAAATGCTATATGGATTCTCTCTTTTAACCCTGGTTCTGTTAATCTTGAGGTGTAAGGGTACAATAATCCAAGCCTTCTCCTGATTTCATTCAGGGCTCCAAGTATATCTCCCAGAGTTGAAAAAAGACTACAGTGGTGGATAACTACCAGTATCGCTATGAACTTGAGGTTCCTCTGGGATAAAGCAGAAAGACTTTCCATAACTTCAAGGATTCAAGAAAGGGAGCTCACCACTAGCCTCTTCCTCAACTCTGCATCCTAACCAAGTCCACATCTCTTGAAGAAACCAGAATGAGCATGAGGCCACCCCTCCTGTGACACAAACACTGAGGTTCCTCAAAGGGGAGGTTGCCCAACCCTACCCACATCCCCTTGGTGGGACATTAGAGGTGGGTCCTGGGATATGGCACCCACCTCCTTTAACTGGAACCCAGAGAATACTCAGTGCCACTCAAGTCTCAAGAGGTGAGATGGAGGCCAAGTCAGACAGGATGGGACCAGATGACCCCCGAGGGACAAAACTGTACTCCTCCTCCCCACTGTCCAAGCCTATAGACCATGGCTGGGTCTTAGAAGAAGGCTGGGAGCCCCACCCAATCCACTCATCTGGTGTTCCCAGCCCTGGCCCCATTTCCGAGTTGCACACATGAGGATTTCTTCATTGTTTTATCTCAGGAAGGAACTCGTGGGTTTGACCCCTTTAATTAAGGCAGAAATGGCAACCCCACCCAACTTCTTCCAGGCCCCCAGCCACAGCTGTCCCCCTCCTGGCCCCAGCCTAGGTAACATCCTCCCAAATAAGCCCTAAGCCCCTCACGGTGCTCCACAGAAGACAGCCTGGCCCAGAGCCAGAGTGGGGCAGGAAAGCTAGAATTCTACTCCCAGTGCTTATTCTATAGCCAAACTCCTAACTCAGGAATGAACAAAAAGCACCAAGCCTCCAAGGAAACAACTGGAATGGGGCTTTCCCTGCTGGGGTGCCCATGGGGTCCTGTGTGAGGGAAGGTAGTCACCCTACCCTGTAACAGAGGCAACCCCTGGCGATCCCAGCCCTACTTAGGTAAAGAACACCCTTGAGAGGGATTAGCTGCTTCTGTCACATCCCTGGCCTTCGAGGCAACCTGGTATAGGTAAAAGACCCAGATTCCGCACTTACGTGCTTCAGTGCAATGCTGGGGCAGGACCCTTCCCTCCTTCTCTGGGCCTTCACCTTCCCTGCTGCACAAGGATTTGGACTGACTGGAGTTCTTTGAGGTCCCTTCCAACTCTGATCTCCTAGGAAGCCATCAACAGGCTCGACTCCCAGCTCAGGCAGAGGGAGTGAGGGAAGGGTACTTTAGCCTGTTCTGAAAAACTCCCATAGTAGACACACACACACACACACACACATACACACTATCCCAGTTTTCACAAAAAGGAAGTCCCCTTCTACCTTCCAGCCTAAACCCCTCCAAACACATCTCACTCTCTAACTTGGAAACCAGCTCCACCTTCAAACTTGCCAAAAACTACCAGATTCATCACAAAGAGCTGTGGGGCCTCCCAGATTCCCAACTCTGGCCTCCTACTCCCATCTCTGAGAGCTACTTGGCAGGAAGAGGAATCCTGTTCCTCGATTCACAGCAGTCGGGGGCCCCAGTACCCTGGCTTCCCCGCCAGCCAATCACAGCAGCCTGCATGCTGCCCTCCTCCCCGGGAGATGGGGCCCAGAGACTGCTCTCAGGGTCAGTAAGACTTGGCCAGCCCACCCCGTAGAGCAAGGTGGAGGAAGGTGCCAGCTCACCCTCTACCCTAGGCTTCCCAGGAGATGATCTACACACCCTAAATAACCTCTTCCAGGGCCAAGCAGCTCTCCCATCTCCTTCCTCAGACTCAGTGGGGAAAACCCGGTAACTTTGCTGCCTTGCCTCAGGAGGAGCCTGGCCCAAGTTCCCAGCAAGAGGCCCAGGGAGCCACTTCCCAAACCACAGGGGTGACAGCAGCTCCCCACAGGGTTATGAAAGACCTTGGTCAGAGTGGGCAGGCCAGGGGAGGGGGCATCATTATCACATCGGAAGCAGCTGCAGCTCAGCTCCCTGTCTGTCCCTCAGCTCGAGCCTTTCGCTAAGGGGGAAAGGGAGAGATGTTTCCACCAGACCCAAAGCAGCTGCTCGAGTTCCTCAGAATAAGGACAGGGACTAGAGGGTTGGGAAGGAGCTCTTTCCTGGGATACAAGGAAAATGAAAGAAGGTGCGCTGAAGCGCCCCAGCCCTTCCTTAGAGCAATCAGGGACCAGCTTCAGTCAGCTCTGGGAGGCTTTTCTATCACAAGGTCCACCCTGGGATAAAGAAACCAAGGCAGCCCCCTCCCCCACACGAAGCACATTCCACTCCACCACGCCAGTGGGGGTGTGCAGGCATGCCCTTCTGCTGCCAATAAATAACTCTTGGTGGCTTTGTAAACCCAGAGGCAAAGTACTAGTGAGTGTAGACATGCAGTTTGACTTGTTGCTATCTGAGGGAAAGACCAGGAAGGAGTGGCGCCCCCTGGAGGTCGGGAGGAGGGGGTTTCACTCAAGCTTTCAGCTCAAGCCTGGGCCAGGACTACCCTGACCATCACACTGCCCCATTTTTCTTCCATACTCCAGTTCCTTTCAAAATATAGCCTCCGCTTCCCTCTGAGGCCTTGCTCCCTCCCTAGGAGGCAGAAAGCCTCTATGGTCTTTGCTTTCCTTTTCCTGGGAAGTGGGGTGGCAGTATGTGTTTAGGGTAGGGGGTGCTACGCACCAGCATCTGGCGATGAGAGACAGCGTGGTCAGAATAGATGCACAGTTTTTCGATGGTCAGGGGTTTGCTGTCGCGCAGCTTGGAGGCCAGTAGCATGCAGACCGAACCCAGGAGCTGCAACTGCGTCTTACGGGTGGGGACACAGGACAGGAATCGATCCACGTAGTTCATGGCCAGGAGGAAGACATCCTCCTCACAGTGTTGCTCCTCACACACCTGGGGGAGGACGCACAGTCACTGCAGGAGCAGAGGCTTGGGAAAGGCAACAGCACTAAGAGAGGATACTGAAAGGACGTGGAATGGGGAGCAAAAATGGGAGGTGGGTAAGGGTACATACGGGACCACAAGGACCGATATGGAGAAAGATGAGCCCTCCCCAAGGAGGCGCCCCCCACTTCCTCTGCGTTGCGGCCTCCCTGCTCCCTGGGGGGGGGGAGGGGAGGGGGGTTGGGGGGAGTAGGCCAGAGGGGCGCTTCCTTCAGTCAGGCCCATTTCAAACGACACCAAATTGAGACTCCCATCCCCCACAGCGAGGGGGGGACGGAAGAGGCACTCCTGGTAGCCGGAGAGCTGGGACCTTCCCCTCATTACCACCACCCACTGCACACACCCAAGGGGAAGGGAGGAGACTCCTGTCGCTGCCTCCCGCACTTTTCGTTTCCCCGTCCGCCGGAACAGCGCGAGCGCCACCCCCACCGCCTTCCCCGCCAGAACCCCGCGACAAGACACAAGAACCGGCTCTGGGGCGGAGGCTGCCAAGCCCAGGGTTTTCCAGGCTCGCTCTCCTGAGAAGACCGGGCGGGGGAGGGAAGCAGGAGGAGCAGAAGGGTAGAGAATGGCCCTTGTCCGGCTTTCCTGGCCGGAACAGACAGAGTTAGGGTGCCAAATGACCAGAAGTAGGGTCGGAAGGAGCCGATCTTGGTTGGGGAAAGGAAGGGGGCACCACGGGGGCAGCCAGTTAGGTTGCCCGAATGCAAAACCAGGCCCCAGGAGTCTGGGCCGCCGGAGCATCTTGCCGATCGTTGCTAGGACCAGGATGTCGAGACAGGGTGGCCCCGGCATGTCCAGATTAAGGGGTGCGGGAATGGCGGGGATAAGGGTGACCCGTCCAAGCGATACCTCCAACATCCAGTACGCCAGCATCTTCCGCATGTGCGGCTTGATCTCATTCTGCACGCACTGGAAGTAGGAGACGCAAGGCAAGTAGCGCTCCTCCATGCGGAGCAAGGTCTGCAGGACACGCTGGTCCTCCAGCAGCTGTGGGTCCGGCTTGGCCCGGGGTGTCTGCTGGATATTCTCGCAGCACAGCAGCTCCATACTCTGGCAGCGCACGGGGCAGGACAAGAGTGAGGGTTCGCGAGCCAGAACGCAAGCAGCGGACTGGAGAGAGTGCGACGCGGGTCTGGCGCTGGGGCTGGCACTGCGCGGTAGAAAACCTAGCCCGCCGCCCGCGCGCGCCGCTTCCCTGACAGGCGCCCCGCCCCTCGCGACGATGTAGCAACCGTGGAATGCTCGGACGTCTTAACGTTCCAAGGGGCGGGGCCGCCTGCGCCCCAGACGGAAAGGGCCAGCGGGGGCGCTCCGTCCTCCCCTTGGGCGGCCGCATTGGTCCGTGGGGCGCCAGCCCGCCGGCTTCCGGGCGCTCCAGGCCCTCCTGACCACCGGGTAGAGCGAACTTTTGGGAGGTGGGCCTGTTCCCCACCAATGGACCCTCTCATTTCGCTTCTCTAACTCTAGTTGCCGAGGAAAGAATTTCTCTCTAAAGGTTATTCATTCATTCATCTATTCATTTGTCAAACCCTATTTCATTCACTGCGTGCTCTAGGGAATATGATAATAAATAATAGCTAGTTCTTAGGGACTGCAATCCTAAGCACTTAAAGTGTAATAAACCATTAAATCCTCATGAAAACTCTTACAGATGAGGAAACTGAGGCAGGGAGAGATTAAAGCCACAGTCCGTGCCAGAGCTGGGATTGGAAAACCGGCCATCTAACTCCAAAATCTATGCTCTACATTGTTGCTACTCAAACTGGGATCCCCAGACCAACAGCACTGGCATCACCTGGGAGCTGGTTAGAAAAGCAGCCTCTTAGTCCCCAGTTCTGACCTGCTGAATCGCAATCTGCATTCAAGTGTAAGAGGCACTAGTCTAAATCAGCATATTATAGAAATACAACAGAGTGGAAAGACTTAGATTCAAGGCCTCACCTTGTCATTAAGTTAACTGTGTGGCCTTGGACAAGCCCTTAAGGTCGGCCTTAGTTGGTTTCTGTTTTCTAAAAACATGAGCAGAGGAAATAGATTCTCTCTAGAGGAGTTTCTTGCTCAGAGTCTATAAAACCTACTAGTTGCCATTTCTTCTCCACCTCCCAAACTTTGGGTTACTTTGTAGTTTTCCCCAAATTCCACATGACCAAGAGGCTAACCACAGACCTCCAGTGATGTTCCAAATGGAAGGGGGATCTCTGCCTCTCCTGGGGTCCTCACGACTTGGGAGACACTAAGGAAGTGAGTTAGTTACTAGAGAAATGACACTGTATAGAAGAGGCAAGTTCTATACTAAGCATTTTCTCAATAAATTGTTGTATGTATACATATGTGTATATATATATATAATCATATTGTTCATAACATGGAAATACTTATTTGCAGTGAAGAAAACTTAGAAGATACAGATAAGCTACCAAAAAATGGAAAATAATCACTTGTAATTTTACCATCTAGAGATAAAGGAGCCCTGGTGACACAGTGGTTAAGCGCTCAGCTGAAAGGTTGGAGGCTCCAAGCCAGTAAAGGTTACAGCCTTGAAAACCCTATGGGGCAGTTCTACTCTGTCTTATAGGGCCACTATGAGTCGGAATGACTCCACGGCAACAGGCTTAAAAAGAACCATTTACAATGTTAACTTATTTTTCTGATCATTGTTCTATGAATTAACATGCATATTTACAAAAATAGGATCATCACAAACTTTTGTTAGCTGCTTTTTTCGTTAAAAAATACACTGTCAACACTTTTTCATGTCATTACATTTTCTACAAAATTGTTTTTTTAAAGGCTATATAGTGTTCCAATGGATGACGATAACATACCATATTTTAGCAAATCTCTACTGTTAGGAATTTGTTTCTAGTTCTTCCATATTAAAAACAAAACATTTTTGTAGCAATATCTTTGTGATCACTCATGATTACTTCTAGAAGTGGATTAATTTCTAGAACTGGAATTTCTCAATTAAAGGTTATAAAATATTTTAAGGCTTTTGACATGGTTATTACCAAATTTCCCTCTTGAGAGGCTGAACCAATCTACTCCTACCAACACTAGGTATCTATAAAAAAACCTTTGCCAACTAGAGAAATGGAAAAGTGTTTTAATATGACATATTATTAGACATTTATATTTCTTAAAGATTACCTATTCATGTCCTTTGCCCATTCTTTTATAGGGGTATTTGTTTTTGTTTTTGTTTTGTTTTTAATTTGTAAGTGCTCACTGCATTTTAAGAATATTAAACCTGTGTCATATATTTTGCTATGCTTTTTTTTTTAGTTTGTCATTTGCCTTTTATCTTTGGTTTGTGGTAGATTTTTCTTTTTTAACAAATTGTTTTTTATATGCAGACTTATTTATCAATCTTTAATGATTTATGCCTTTGAATCATACCTTCCACACCCTAAAATTATATAAATACTAGAAGAAAATGTAGGGAATAATTACAGAGAATTTTTTTTTTTAATCACTCAGGGAACTTGTTGAAAATGCAGATTCCCTGGCCCCATCTAAGGGCTTCTCATTCTGCTTGTCTCAGATGAGGCTCAAAAACCTGCATTTTCAAGAGTACATACAATAGAGGTTGGTTTGTTGGTTTTTTAGACATGGAAGTCCTTACCAACATTTATTAAGTGGGATTCGACTTCATTTTTCCCAAATGATTAACTAATGTGTCCCATGACACTGATTTAATAACCTGTTCTTTATTTCACTCACTTCCCTGGTATAAGCATCCCTGGACCTGGTTCTTACACTTGAAATGATACCTTATTTTGGTCCTTTGTGGCCAAAGACTTTCACTGGGAACTGGCCCTCAGAATTTTTGCTGCTTTTGTCTAAGGAACCTCACCTGGCCTTTAACCCAATGTCACACATAAAATCATGCTTAAGGAAGACGCCAAAAGCTCATTTAGTGGGAAATAACCATTGCCTTCAACTTCTAGAGAGACATGGCCTTCAACTACAGCAAGAGGGATGTATGTTAGATAGCAATTAAAACTCCAATTAGGTAATGATATGGGAAAGAGCCACCACCCATCTGTCAGTTTGTTGTACTGTGGTGGCTTGTGTGTTGCTATGATGCTGGAAGCTATGCCACCAGTATTTCAAACACCAGCAGGTCACCCATGGTATACAGGTTTCAGCGGAGCTTCCAGACAAAGACAGACTAGGAAGGACTGGCAATCTACTTCCGCAAATTAGCCAATTAAACCCTATGGATCACAGAATGTTGTCTAAGACTTTGACTAGCTTACTTTGGACACATCATCAGGAGGGACCAATTGCTGAAGATGGACATTATGTTTGGTAAAGTGGAGGGTCAGTGAAGGTGACAGAAACCCTCAATTGAGATGGCCGTAACGATGGACTCAAACATACTAATGATCATGAAGATGGCGCAGAGCCAGGCATGGTTCTGTTACGCTTGGTTTCATTCTGAAGTTATACATGGGATCGCCATGAGTCGGCGCCAGTTGGACAGCAACTAACAACAACAACATGGGAAAAGAGGAAACAGTAGCAGAATCTTCTCTGCAGAGCTTTAAAAACAGGGCAGGTCTTCTCATTGCTCTCCCTTCTCCTCAATTACCCCCTCTGCCACAGGTTACCCTATTTCCTCAACTTGAAGTATCCTCTCTGCTCAGTTTATTTATTCACACCTCCAGGCCCAGCTCAGGTCCAACATCCTTCAGGAAGCCTTCCCAGAATAGTCCAGCTATAGAACTAACCCTTGGCCTCCAAACTCCTACAGATCTCACTGCCCATGCCCTGCATCTGGCTGTCTGATTCATGCTCTCTCCCCGTCAGAGGGCAAGCTCCTGGAAAGAGGAAGACCATTCACATGTATTGAGATCCAACTATGTGCCATGTACTGGGCAAGGTGCTTACAGTCCACCATCTTATTTCACTCACCTCAACAACATTCTAAGGGTTGTTTTTAGATGGGAAAGCTAGGGTATAGTGGAGTTAAGTAACTTACTTATTGTCTACTTAGCTCCCCCAAAACCATACCCTTTTTAACGCTATATGCCTCTCTTTAAGGACAGGTATTGTGTCTTATATGCCTGTATCTCATCTGCAGGATCCAACATTGTGCTGTGACCACCAGCAATAATAAGTAGTACTTTTATGTAGTTACTTACTATGTTCCAGGCACTGTACATATCTGATATATATTAAATCATTGCATCTTTACATCAACAATACGAGACGTATACTATTATCTTCCCTCATTTTACAGAAAGGGAAACCAATAGTCAGAATGGCTAAGTAGCTTGCCCAAGGTTACATAGTTAGTAAGTGGTAAAGGCAGGATTCAAACCAGGCTGTCTGGTTCCAGAGTCCATGCTCTTAACCATTTCACTCTACCGCCTCTCATGCTGTTCCACAAGTGCGTATAATCGATTAATTGTTGCTTTATTGATTGGGGGAGGGGCACAGAGAGGCCATCTAGTTTTAGAAGCTAGCATGAGTCCCCATACTCTGGGGACGGGAGCTCCTGATGAACAGAGCTTTTTGAGGGATACCTCTGTCTGCCCCTGGCTGGGGCTTCCATGTTAGAGCTGGGCTCTTATCCTGGACCCCTAGGTCCAGGGAAACAGGCAGTCACAAGCTGGCTGTCCACTGAGAAGGCAGGGGAGTTCAGCCCAAGGCCAGGGCAGAGGAGTTCCTGGGAGGTTGGCTGATCTGCCAGGGAACTTCGCCATCACCTCTACCTCAAAGGAAGAGGGTCTCCCCCTGTTCTTTCCTATAAGAAGAAAAAGACAAAGCAATGACTACGGCCAGTATGGTGTGGAGTTTCTGCTTTCATGCATTTAGTTATAAAAAGCTGCTCAATGAAATGGCAAGTTAGAGAGCTAGGAATGGAATGTCACAGGCCAGATAAGAAGCCCTAAGGAGGACAGATACAATGCTTTCTTCCTTCTCCTCCTCCTCCTCCACTCTTCATGATTGAAATGCCCCATCTGAGAACCAGAGGGTGAAAAAGGTGAGGCCCATCACCGCCCCAGTCTACATTCTATGGCTCAGTTACCTTCAAACCACTGAGATGATAGGTAAAGCCAAGCCAGCCTTGGGGCTGGGGCAGAGAATAGGGGAAGAAGTCCTAATCCCTAAAAAAGAAAGGTGGACAAAACTCTGAAGATAGACGGCTTCAGTTT